TGAAAGGTGAGATTTATGGTATAATTGTTTGCAAAGATAACAAATAACTTGGAATAGCAGATTATTAACCGCTTAGGGACCAGTGAATGAAGATGAAGTGCAAAGGTTGGACTATTCATGAATAATGAAAAAGTGGGACTATTGTAAGAAGACCGCTGAAAGGTTGGATTATTAGTTTCCATTTTCCCTATTATTTATCCTCAATGCGGCCTATTTTTTAGGTGATGACAGACAATATGTAAAGATGCTTCTTAACTACATGAAGCTTATCTTCTGTAAAAAAAAAAACTACATGAAGCTTATAACAAAAATTAGTAACTAGGTTTATAAACATGAGTCAATGATATTTTTTCTAATAAATATCACCATGATGTTTATCTTAAACAAATCAGGCTTATTTTGTTTATCAGATTCATATCAATTTGTTATTTTAAATCTTGTAATTGCAAAAAAAAACTAACTGATATACTCGTGTGTGTAGTTTTATCATTACAAGTAAACCCATACAAGTTGTCAATTTAGCAATGAGGAATTTTGAGTTTGCACCCCACTTTTTGGGGTGATATCGAACTTTGGACTCTATTTTCATAACTTTTAGACTTTGTACTTTTTGGCCATGCACATATTCATTTCCAAAATTATACATTTGTTTTAAAAATGATACCCTCATAGCAGCCAAGTACCTTGTGGTCTGGTGACATCACGTAATGTGACACTCCTAAGGAGGAGGTCACGAGTTCGAATCTCATCCCAATTCAAGGATGTTGATCTTAACATTGAACAAATGCTATAATAGGTTAAAAGGAATTGCCACAAGAAAAATGATACCTTCATAGCAACATGTTACTTAAGTTTAGCCGTATAGAACATGGAGTTCAAGTCATTAAAAGTTTTATGTGTATTCAAACATTCATTTATTCTTATGAAAATATAAAATCGTTAATTCTTGTACGGGGATTAGCATGGACTTGTGTATACACAAAATGACGGGATTAGCTAGGATTTGTCACGAATTTACCGATGTTTTGATGTCCAATAACTTATGTCAAAGTATTTTTACGGCGAATTTGACATATTTATGTGAATTCCTATATGATTTTTTTGTAGTGTTTATTTAACTCCTTTTTATCTACACCAATTTCTATTAGTTTCTCTTCCTCTCCCCAAGGTTTTCATAGACGTTTTCTTTCGCCTTCTATTCTAGAAGTACATATGGTTTCAGTTCCGGAACCTGATATGATTTAGTTGATTATTTACTCTAGATGTGGTATCAATCAAGCGGTACCTAGTCGAGGGTACTAAAGACTATTTTTCTATGCAAAGTTTGTGAGTTAAAATTTATTTTCTTTATCGGTTTACGATAAATAAAATATGAATAATAAGAGGACTCTATCTCAATGCTCTTGTATATGATAAACTTAGATAAAAACTTAAATAAAATGAGTGGATTTGATTTTGAACCTTCGATCAAGGGTTGTTTCTTTATATTGAAATTGTTTGAGCTTATATATCAAAGAAGTCCAAACAAAAGAATTAGCATGTTAGGTTTAAAAGTTGTAGCCAAACAAATCTATTTTTTCTTCATAATTTAGTCTTTATACTTTGAAACATCGCTATCCTAATAAGCTAATAAAAGACTTTCAATAGAGTGCACTTCACTACATCGCAAATAATTAAGGAAATTATAAGAACTTTTATTGACACCATCAAACAAAATAAATTACACATTCTTTTATAGAACAACAAGTATTCTATGTTATCCTTAAGGAGTTTCAATAAAACATCCTAATATTATCAATAAACTGTATTGGACATTTGTTTTTCGCGCAACGCGCGTCGTATAACTTGTTCCTATATTACATGGGTGTATTACTCTGGTGTGGAATTTCTAAAGGAGAATGTTCTCCTAAGGTAGGCCTAAAACTTACAAGTTTTAGGCATCTTTCACTTAAGGTGCTTCTCAGCCGAATATTTTTATGAAATTTTGTGAGAATGTTCTCAATGAAGTGTAGTTTATCTTCACCAAGTTTCAGATTAAAGTTCAAAAGAGAAGTGAGTAAAATAAATTATTGAAAAAATGCATTATATATAGAAGTGCACAATTTTCAATATTTTTAACTGACTTATCGATTAAATTTTAAATTTAAATTTGATAAACATATTTTACCATTCATTGAGAACATGCTCACAGAATTTCATCAAAAAATTCGACTCATAAGCACTTCAAATGAAAGAGGCCTAAAACTTGTAAGTTTTAGGCCTACCTTAGGAGAACATTCAACTATAGATTAGAGATCAAATACAAACCAAGCTTAATGTACTAATCTACAAACTCAATAATATGCAACACTTAGAACTTCAATATGCAATACAAATAATGTAAAGATACACACTTTGAACTTCAATGGGCAATACAAATAATGTATATATGAACCGGCTATTTTTATGGCTTGATTAATATGCAACACTTTGAACTTCAATATGCAATACAAATAATGTAAATATGCACAGTTTGTAGATAATTAGCATGAGAGGACTAATTTGTATGTGATCCTACGGTCCTACCGTACCCCCTCCAATATATATATATATATATGTATGTATGTATGTATTGTTATATTATATAAAGGAATTTCATTATATAAAATGTAATTTTTCTATATGGCATGATAAAATTAATTTGATTAGTAAGAGCATGAAAGTTGTCGATGTGAATGTCCAATTGCAACAAATGAAGAATAACATTTGTTAACTTGTCGATGTGAATGTCCAAAGCAAATGAAGAATAACATTCGTAAACTTAGATAGTAAAGTCATGCACTACAAAAAAATATCGAAATAGGCACGGACTTGGCACGGATTGGGCAAGTTTGGCACGGACCGTAACTTATTTTTGGCACAGCGCCGTGCCAAATAGCTGGTGACAAAACGACTTTGGCACGGAATTTGGCACGGATTTAACGCATCCGTGCCAAATTCGTGCCAAATACCCTACAAATTTTGGCATATCCGTGCCAAAGCTCTGTGCCAAATCCGTGCCGAAATTGTTGTTTTTTTGTAGTGATGCTTGTCATAATAGTACAACTAGAGTTAGGATTCTTTTGGAAAACTAAGGTAAAGGATACTATTTTAAGTGTTCGATATTTATAGACTTAGTTATTGTAGTTATTGTGGTTAGCATATGTATGAAGGGGATGATATAATATGTACTAGGTATGTGACAGGACGTTTGACTTGATATGATACTTAACCGTATCACCCGTATGTATTGTGCTACGTACTTCAGAATATGTGTGTACAAGGAACTTGAAAGCTTTTATCCATAAATTTTGAACACAGTTATAATTACTAAAAATCCTCAAGTCACATTTTTTTACAGAAATATTTTATTAGAAATTTTTTGGTAGAAACTTCACTTTACAACGCATTAGACTTTTAACCTATTCAGAAGCGAAATTACCCCCAGTTAATTTGAATCAACTATTGTGCACTTTGTGATTAAGAATCGAAATTTGATAATGAATGAAAAGTCAATTAACATTTTAAACTAGTATTTCAAATTTGTTCATAATTACACGCTTTGATACTTTTTCTAAATTTGGTATACTAAATGCTACAATACTTCGCAAGCCATAAAATGCATTTAATTGAATATAAAGAGAGTGAGATTAGTAAATTTACTCAAGAGTAAAAAAGTAATGTTGTAAAACTTTCTAAGTATTCACTTTCTCTAAAGTTTGGCAAGAGAGTCAATATATGCAAGATACGAGTATGGAGTAAATCACGGTAAATAAGACTATTGCTTCCCGATGAAACAATGAACAAATTGAAATTTGAGAGTATTATATTCTATGCGGAGAGAAATTCACAAACCACAAAGTATTTAACTTCTCGGTATAATACTATTTATCACCCTTTTCTCTCTCTAATTAGTCAATAAAAAAAGGTTAATAAAAGAGAGAGTGAAAATAAACGAAAGGACAAAACAACACGGTTAAATGTGCATAGAAGAATGTGCAACCAAATACACTTGCACAACACTTTTATGGATCCATATGTGTGATTTTAAGGAAATAATGACATGCCCGTATTATTTACAATTGGTACAAGATAAAGACGAATGATAAAAAGTTAGGCTTTTGTACAAAATGTTTATTGTTCTTGTTGTCCTATAAAATCTGGTTATTCAGACTTTTATTGATCGATGATAGTCAAGTTTGACAATTAATATTAATTAGTATGAAGTTATTTTTTTTATCATCAAAGTGACTTTAGATTAATTAGTATGAAGTTATTTAAAATTTGAAAATTGTATAAAAATATTTATTGTTAAGATTATACAGAAGTATTCGTTGTTAAAATATTTTAAAAATGTATATAATTTATAAATTTTACACAAATATAATACTCCGCAACTAATTATTGTGGGAAGAGGATAATATCGTACGCTTTATTTAAATTTAAACGGTTCATCATGAAGTTATACACATGGTAATTTTAATCACATTTTTATTCATAAGTTTTATTTGAATAACGGCCCAAAATTTTTCTTCAAAGAGCTTTTAAAATATGAAGTAGTGTTTCTTTGAAAGAAAATATGAAGTAGTCATGAAAAAAATACAATTAAATCATTTATGTTTAATAAGTATACATTGAATATTTTATCGGTATTGAAATGTGTTTAGTTAGGAAAGAGATATAATTTATAATAACATTATTCTAAATAGGAGTAAAAATAATATGAAAAGCTTTAAGAGGAGCACTATATCTTTTTCTAAGAGCAATTAGTGTGGTGTTTGAAACATAGTGCTAATCATCATAATACTAATAGCTCCATAATTAATGCCTGATAGTAATATAATATGACCAGACAATTTTAGGATGAAAATCAATTGTCCTAAATAGAAAAAAATAATGTACTCCGAAATTCAGATTGTGACACCTTAATTTATTGATGAATGCCTTGTTTATATCATGTCAAATACACTTATTTGTCATTTTTTTGTTGAGGAATTTTTTGTTGATGAATGCCCAAGTTTGCAACCAGCCATCGTTCCGGATACTCCACTCGCCCAAGTGTCCTATCCGTTGCAGGGTGTTTCAGTCATTGCACACAAACGTCCAAAGCCGTGTCAGCGGCTGCTCCGTCACCTTCCGATCGAAGTCAAGGACTCCCATTTTCAGATTCTCAATCCCCAAACTACCCTTCTGATTGCTTCTACCTTCACCTACGCAGATCTTCAAAGCCGAATCTTCAGTTCCTTGCTTCCAGCTTTCTCTCATACACGGAATATGCTGCTACATTCATGGCCGTATATCTACTGCTCCAGCTCTTTGCTTTCGAGTGGCCATTCTCGCTCAAGACTGAGTAAATGCGTTTTCGTCACTGTTTCCTTTGAAACTTAGCTCCGACTTTTTAGATATGACGCAGAATTTCTGCGCTGAGTTCGTCGGTCGGAGTTTCAGAGTAAGGTGCATCCGCGAATCGCAGCTTTTTAGTGTTTAGCCAGGTAAGGAGTTTCTGCTATGCGTTGAAGGTTTTCACTTCAGCAGAACCGGAAGTGCTTTTTAGCTAGTTGTGTGGGAGATCTGGAGCTTTGGTTGTGAAGGAGATTGTGCTGGTCTCGACTGCTTGAGCTAAGAATGAAGTCAAGTACTCGCCTTGAATCAGTAGTCTTTCAGCTCACTCCTACCCGAACTAGGTAAATCTTCTAATTTCATATACATAGATGCTATGAGCCTATGATCGGGATTAATCCATTGAATATAATCGCTTCTATAATCGTCAATGACGAGTGTTTAGTAATGCCACTGAAGAATTTGTTGAACTATATTATACTGAATTACAACTCTTTTTCATCATCAGGTGTGATTTAATTATCATTGCCAATGAGAAAAAAGAAAAAATTGCTTCTGGCTTGTTGGATCCTTTTCTTGCTCACCTAAAAACAGCTCAGGACCAAATTGCCACGGCTGGCTATTCAATTGTGCTCGAACCCAAATCTCAAAGTGATGCATCATGGTTTACAAAGGGCACAGTGGAAAGGTTTAATACTCTGTGATTGTTCTTTACGTGTCTTGCACAATTATATCCAACCAAGAAGTTGTCATAAAATCGCAACTCATAATTATAGCACTGATCTTTCAACAGAAACCAACTTAACATGTTAATACCATTAACTATTGCCGTCCTGCAAAAATGTGGTTTTGACTTCGACTCTTCTGAGATCCAAACAAGCAAGTAGCAATTGGCTAATTGCTACCATGACATTGTTAAAAGTTTGTCTCACCATGTGTCTGTGTTACAAGCATGGTAGGATATTGTCCAAGGTCTAGAACAAGAAGGTGGAAGGGAGGTAGTATCGAACGAATTTCAGATATGTCTTTAATGATTTTTGGTATGGTTGCTTTTGAGAGAAAGAGTTGAATTAAACTAAGGTAGACTTAGTTAGTGTCTGACCTAGTAAAAGCAAATAAGAATTAATTTTTATAAGGTTGTTTATTAATCAATACGGAGGATCCTTATATGCCATAATCATAACAGGAAAAAATAAATCTTCTACCAAGAAGCTGAATAGAACTGAATAAATAAAACAGTAATGGAAAGCTAATTTTTATCATGTATCTTTATTATCTTTTTATGTTCTTATGTTATTTTTATGTCCTATTTTTATGCTCTTTTATCTTTTTATCTTTTATCTTTCTTATATTCTTATGTTATTGTTATCTTATATTTATCTTTATCCTACTTTACTTTTTTTTCCCTACCTTTCTTCTCCTTTTAGCATTGATATCATTGATCGATTCATGTTAGCCGCCCCCAAATTCTTTTGGGATTAAGGCTTGGATGCTGTTGTTGTTGTTGAAGCTAATACTAATATTACTAAATACTAATGGGAAACTAATAATAATAGAGAACAATATCCCTAGCTCTAATAGGATTGGCCTAGGCATATTTACAACAGTCTGTTGAGAATGATGAAATAATTGGATTCAATTGTTGGTTTCAATAGGTTTGTTCGCTTTGTGAGCACTCCAGAGATCCTGGAACGGGTGCACACTATAGAATCTGAGATCATCCAGATTGAAGAAGCAATTACCATACAGGGGAAAGTTGATATTGAACATGGCAATGTAAGTATATTAAGGAAGATACATGTCAGCAGTTTATTTCAAGTCACGTGCTTGTCATATAGTTACACTATCGAAGGTTATGAACTCTCTAAATTATCTCTTATTTTTCCAACAGGTTGAAGACCACCATGAAAAATCACTGTGGACCTCACAAGGTATTTATATAAGAAATTGCTTGAAATAAGACTAAAACATAGATAAAATTCTAAAATAGGACTAACTATGTTTTCTTCCCAAAATAGGACTTATGTACTCCTATTAAAAGAATGGATGAGTCCTATTTAGGAGTGGATGAGTCCTATTTAGGGAAGAAAACACTGGCACTCTTATTTGTGGAACTATGTTATGTTTTACTTCTATTTAGGGAACTTTCTCTAATTCCATAGAAATGAAATTAGACTTTGCACCCTGTTTTTTGGGTGATATTGGACTTTGCACCCCATTTTCAAAACTTTTAGACTTTGCACCCTATTTCCCCTAAAATGTCTTTGCCTTTGCACCCCATTTAAGAATTTTTCTTCACAAAATGTTGTAGATAGGGTGCAAAGTCTAAAAGTTTTGAAAATGGGGTGCAAAGTCCAATATCACCCAAAAAGTGGGGTGCAAACTCAAAATTCCCCAATTCTGAAACATAATGTTTGGTATAATGGTTCTCTTACTGGTCATTCTTTGTTTGTTTGGACTTAGTTATTATGCATTTCAGTTTTTATTTGATTAAAACCTGTTCTGAAGTTTTATTTTTAGTTTCCCTCTTCTTGTGTACCAATTTCATCAATCCCATTGTTATTCCTCAATGTTGATTGTTTGGTTTGTCATAAAAAACATTATTTCTAAGTTGACCTCTATGGTGTTCTTTCTTCCTGTTTCTTAATGATCCCCTTCCCATGTATTTTTAATTTATTGATTAGCATACTGTGCCTTCATTATTGAGCAATGGTAGCACTGACATCAAATGCTTTTGATAGGTAACAAATCAACATCAGGTGTTAATGAGGAGAAAGCTATTGTACTTTACGAGGTATAGGGTCCAGTACCATTTTCATTCCTTTAATCTGTCATGCATTTTTTCATTTTGTTGTGTCCTTCGCAGCCTGGTGCATATCAACTTGAAAAAAGTAATGCAGCCTCACACGGTGGAAATTCGAGGTATACATTATTTTGATGCCTGAAATCAAATCATGTGTGTGTGACTGTGAGTCTGTGTATGTGTATGTATATACTTACATATTTAGGCTTGTTGAACAAATAAGAATTGTCTTTGGTGCTGCTCATTGTTTCTAGGAAAAATTGGTATTATTAATCCCAACTATTCACGGTCCGCAATTAATAAACCCTACTTTGTATTATTTCCCTATAGTCCCAACTTTTATCACCCTTTTCTTTAAACAATCCCATGGACCGAATACCGGTCCAACCGGTAAATCCAAAGTTTAAACATATCAGATTATCAATCAGTAAATCCATCGCCATACCACACCAGGCTCACTGAAGTTAAATCATTGGTTTTCTTCTTGCCTCCCTTCCAGCCAGAGAATTCCCTTTATACCTAGAACCTCTAACACGGTTGGACATTCGAAGATAAAGTAGAAAGCAGGGAGACAGAAAATTATTGATGCCGAACAATGGTTTGGGGAGATTGAAAATTCTTGGAGAACTCTGGGCGAAGCGAAGAGCTACGCGAAGAAGACGACAAACTCTTCCTGCACTCAAAATTTATTAGGAATATCTCATATTGATTTTTAGCTGAAAAAGATCAGATAAACAGATGGGTTGGTTAAAGATCACATTCGTCTTTTTTGGATTGTCCATAGAGCGATTTTGATTTTGGGAATTGTCTGTCCAAGATCGATTGAAGCAGCCTCAGATTAAGACAGAGAACAAGAAGGTTCTTCTATGAGTTCTTCTAGTAGACATAATTTCGGAAGCTTTAGATCGAAAGTGAAACTCCGGTGCCGGCGTATTCATAGATCGACCAGCGAAGAGGAACACATCGGACTATCGGAGTAAACTTCAGGGGAGGATGCCTTTTCATCTGCATTTAGTAAATCACGTGAGATTCACGTATTTATCCTTTCCGGTCATAATTTTATGCTAACAGGTAAGAGACTGTTTAAAGAAAAGGGTGACTAAAGTTGGGACTATGGAGAAATAATTCCTAATTAGGATTATTAAAAGTAGATCGTGAATAGTTGGGATTATTAATATTAATTTTTCCTTGTTTCTATTTACACTCATTGATCAGAAAAATTGATTTGATTTATTTTAGCATTTTTATATTCTCCTAAGTACGTGTGGACTTTCAAGAGATACCTGCTATTTTGTGTACGTGCTAGTATGAGTACTAATTGCATGAACACTTGCTTTTTCCGGATAACTTATCATGTGATCAAGTTATATGCTTGAATTGGTTGTTTCACTCATTTCATTTCATCATCATCATGAAATGAAATGAGTGAAACAACCAATTCAAGCATATAAGTTAAATTGGTTCTTAAAGCATTACCCTTGTGTGAATGTACTTTCGTGACATTTTTTGCTGGTTCCCATCACTTCCTTACATATACTTTGCCTTAGCTGTTTGGTCTGCATGTGTGATTTCACATACATCTGTGTTTGCTTATATGCAGTTCAGCAGTTGTATGAAAATCTATAAATCTCAGTTTTATAATATAGCTTACTATTTTACTTTTCATGTGAAAAATATATAATGTTTCATGCAAGTTCTCTCTAGACTCTAGTTTAAGTTATTGATTAGGCCTAAGACTGAACTACCATCTGTGCTCTTCAAACATAATTTCAATTGAATTTTGTCAGATAATGGGAAAAATCTAAAAGCTGTAGTTTGTTTTTACCTGAATCTGCATATATGTAAGAGCACAACTTCTGAAAGTCCTTAAGACCCGCAAATCTGTGCTACAAAAGGAACAAGGGATGGCCTTTGCTCGTGCGGTAGCTGCTGGTTTTGATATTGATTACATGGTTCCGCTGCTTTGCTTTGCTGATTGCTTTGGTGCTTCACGTTTGAGGTAAGGATTCATTTATTCATTTAGTGTTGAGTTGTTGACTGATATTAGTATGGAGATCTTGTCTTCCCTTACATGATGTATAAGGTAAAATATAGGCAAAGTACATTGTGTCTTCAATGGCTCCTTCCTAATGTGTTGCAAAATATTTTTGTGTGGCAGGGATGCAAGCTTAAGATTCATGGAACTCTGGAAGAAAAAACATGAAACTGGACAATGGCTTGAAATTGGTGTAGCAGAAGCAATTGCTAGTGAAACTGATGTGTCTGTCATGAATGCATCAGGTGTAGCGTTTTCCAATATTGCCGGCAAGCATTCCACCAGCGCTGAGTTTGCTTCAGAGGCTGATGGGAAATTAAATACAGATGCTACTGCAGGTTAATAAACAAACTCGCTGTTTTCAATTTCCTTTTGTTGTCAAGAATTTTAAAGAGCTCCTTTGAAAATGACTCATCTTCTTGATAGTTGGTTTCCCCAATTTTAAATTCAGAAAGACGGAAAGAGTGAGAAAGAGAACATATGACATTGATCTTAAACATCCTAATTCCTTGAGGCTCCACTTTAAGTCTAAAAGGAGATACTTCTTAGAACCTAATTATGAAACAGGATGTAATAGACAGAATCTTATTTGGCAGGTAGACTGATCATGGCGCAACTTGTTTTTATCCATTAGCATCATTTGTCCAATGCTATTATTTGAAAACCGTCGAATGTACTGGTATCTTGAGACATGCGATACTTAGTGGAAGCCACTGCACTTCTATTATTTTCTTTGTATTACTCGAAATCTGGAGACCTGTATAAGGGTCCCCTTGCACAGTACTCTGGTATAGACTCACAACTATAGCATTGAACTCATAGTTGTTTTGAGTCTATCTTTTTAACGTTTTATCTTTAATGCTAGATGCATAATGATATTATAGAAAGTTCGAAACAATCATTCAATCCATTTGATTGTTGGTGGACAGAGTATGTTCTAAAACAGTACAACTTCCTGAACAAATCACGGAATAATATCTTAGAAACTCAGAAAGTACACAGTTTTATCCCCTCAAATGGTTGGCAAGACGTAATGAAATGTATTCTGTGGCAAGAGAAATGTAATGACCAAAATCATAGAAAATACATGGACTTTTAAAGAAAAGCTTTATGTTTTCACCAACAAATTATTTTACTGTTATGGTTCTTTTTGAACTACCATGTAACCTGTTTCTGAATTCGTTCAATGGTCCATGATTTGCAAATTGATTTTACAATATCAATCTTGTAATGGGTCCAATGGGACATGCTCAATACAGCTATCTTAACTATCACCATCTCATGATGTTTTCCATACAAGTGGAAATAATGTATGATGGTGACCATTTGTAACTTCATGTCACTATTCTTTTGTAAGAATATTGTGGCAGGAGGTCATCTATCATTAAACTTTACCGACTATATATTTTTTTGCATTTATTTGGTGTTAATGAAATCAAACAAAACCACAAATGTCATGCCAATGGCACCAATGATTTAGGATAAAAGTGATGGAGGAATAGGGATAATGATGAATAAACTTATATTGCTTTGGATGTAAACCCATGACCATTATCGAACCTTAATCCCCACATGCAAAAAGCATAGTGGCATTTGTTTTCCTCCGACTTATAATTTATGTCTATCTAAATGACAAATGCCTAATGCACAATATCATCATCTTGTTAGGATGACTTCAGATGGTAAACATCTGAGTATATCATATGACAATTTATGTTCATCTAAATAAAAATATACATTATACGTAGTACTTTTCAGTGGACTGAATACTTGATTTTACATGTCTAGGTGAAAGGCAAAGAACCGATCAGCAGGTTCCCAGTAATCAACAATTCTTTCAAAGTCAGGCTTCTCAACCGTTGTTTCCTCCCTGGGCATTGAATCATCCGGCATCTGCCATGCCTCTTCTACAACCATACCCAGTGCAGGGGGTGCCCTATTATCAAGCATATTCTGGAAATGAGTCTTTTTATCACCCACCTTACCCACCACCATCGATGGAGGACTCAAGACTAGGTGTTGTGCATAGAACTAGACAAAAAAGGCAGTCCATGGATGGGAAAGACATGAGTTCTGAGGAATCCCCAGATGATGAAGACCCACAGTATGAAGATAAAATGGAGAATACAGGAAGGTCTAGAAAAAGGCGATCAGGAAAAGTTGTCATTCAAAATATTAATTACATTTCCAAAACAAAGAATTCAACTGATAGTGTCACGGAATCAGATTCTGATTCTGAAAGCAATGTAGATGGTCAAGAAGATCTTCCAAACAAGATGTCTGGGCCATCCAAAACAAAAGGTAATTGTGGAAAGCGTCTGAATGAGCTGACTTCATATGATAAAGAAGATGATGTCCTCGGTGAGAAGATGGGTGAAACTGAGAGTGGACATTGGTTAGCTTTTCAAAATCTTTTGTTCAGAGAGAAGGATGGAGAAACCAATTCACAATTGAGGAACTCATCAGACCCGTTTGTTGAGAATGGGGGAGATAGTGCTACTAATGAATTGCAGAAAACCTTCTCAAATGGCGTAGCTGATGAGTCCTTCATAGTAACATTTAAGTCAATGATGTCAGATGATACTGCACCGCACAGCAGAACTGCTATTGATATAGCTTCTGAACTTCCAGCAACACCTAGACATACAGCAAAGTACTCTAACGGACAAAGTGGTCAACCTAGTTATGAGCCTGATCTGGGATTGGTTCCTGGACATAGAGCGGAAAAATGTTCCGGCGGATATGACCCCTCTTGGGACTATGGAATTCAAGTTTGTGTCAGAGATGATGAATCTCAGGAGAAAGGAAAGAAAGATGTCTATCATAATGTGAAAAAAGGACCTCAGAAAACAGAGGACCGTAGGGCAAAGGCTACTGCTGCTGGTTCAGAGAAGAAAAGGGTGGGTGGTCCCATAAAGAAAGGAAGCATTTCAAAGGCTAGCCCTTTAGAGGATGCACGAGCACGAGCGGACAGAATCAGATCCTATAAAAATGATATTCAAAAAATGAAAAAAGAGAAGGTATACCATTTAAGATACAATAAGGGAAAAATAGTTGTATGGAAGTAGATGGAGGATATGCTAATTCTGCTTACAACAAACATAAACTGCCTTTTAATTATGCTGGGTTAGTGGAAACTAAGCATGATTGTGATGTTACTAGTGGTCAAGTGAACTAACTACCATATCATCATACCTTTTCTGGTGCTGTCATAAACGTGATGAAATACATCATGCATCTCATGCTCTATTTTTTCCATTAAATTTTCTTACTCTTTGATCTCCTCTCGCTCTGAAATTATATGCACAACTTATTTACTTTTGTAATAGGAAGAAGAAGACCTTAAACGCTTAGAAGCGCTAAAGTTGGAGAGACAAAAGAGAATTGCAGCTAGAGGCAGCTCAGGCTCTTCACATTCAGTGACTCCTCCGTCTCAACCAAAAAGATTGCCAACAAAATTATCTCCAAGTTCTGTTAAAGGATCTAAGTTCAGCGATTCAGTGCCAGGATCATCATCACCTTTACAAATAACCAAACTAAGAAGTACCATAGGATCCAATGATTCACAAAGAGCCTCCAAGTCCTCTAAAAAAAGTAATGGACAGCTGGCAAATTATCGGTTGACTAGATCAGCAACATCATTGCCTGAACACAATAAGGAAAGACTTAGAAGGTTATCTGAGCCCAAAACCCTCAGCAGTGTAGCATCAAAGCCAAGGGCACGGAAATCTGGTTCAGCATCCAAATCCAACATATCTGATTTCACTGAGAGCAAGAAAATTTCAGCTATCATAGACCTTGATAAGAAGAAGGCTGCTACTCTTCCTGAACTGAAGATAAGAACGCCCAAGACGAAGGGTTCTGGACCTCCATTCATGAAAAGCAGAAAACTTTCACAAGAGAGTGAAGGGGATGAAATCATTGTTGAGAAGACTGTTGTGATGCATGAGTCTGAAAGACACTCTTTACCTTCTCCCAGTGGATCTGTAGAAAATTTGGTTAAGACTGCAATGGTATCTGAGTATGCTTCTATAGACGCACCACCTTCACCCTTTGAAGGATTCATCAGGGGACCTATTCCTGGTGGCTTTCTTGAACACCTGAATTCTCAGGAGGTAATGGATGATTGGATGGTACAAATGTTTGATTGAGCTGCTTCCATTAGGTCCTATAGTCTATATGCATGCATGCATGCGCGCGCGCATGCAAGCAAGCCCGCACTTGCGCACACTTGCGCGCTCACGTGGGCATGCATATGCGCGCGTGGGAGTGCGTGTGTGCATGCATGCATGCATGTATGTATGTATAATTGTATATGTATGAGTGTGCATACATATCACGCACATACACACACATGTATATGAATTTTTAAAGCTGAAATGTTAATTTTTTTAGGGACATAATTTGCGATTTTATAACATTTCAATAACTTCTTTTAATTTCTTAGGAAAATTGTATTTATCAAGATATAAATTATGCTCTCCTATGCCTCCCCCCTCCATCCTAACAGACCCTTAATCCTAATATCTGTCAGAATGACCTTGTTGAACCACTATAATACTTCCTTAGTATAAAGCATAACACCAAATTGTTTTTAGTAGAGTGCCTAACAAGATCAGGTCTGAACTAAATTGTTGCATATAACCTCTATTTATTATACCATTTATAAATCATATTTTATTTGGTTCACCCTGATTGCAGTATCATTTGCAAATATCCGTCTTAAATATACGTAGTATGATTTATTTACTTGCTTTTGTGCATGCGAGGGACTATATGTTGGCTACTGATCTAAATTGATCCATTTTATTACTTGTAAAATACTCCGTGAGATTCTTTTATTGGGACAGAGAGAGTAATTATTTGTGCATATATTTTAGGTGGGAGCAAGTTATATTGAGGAGACACCCAAATTTGCAAATACTGATGGTGCGGGTAGGCCTTATTATCAAGCCCCATATGCTCGGGTCTCCTCCTTGGAAAAACCCTGTACTGGAAACTCAGACGTCGTATCGGTAGAACCTGAAAACCTACATATTGATGACGTGAAGACTGTTAGTAAAGATAAAGTTCAAGAAGGTCCAGAGAAGACTCAATTCAAGGAGACATCGAAAGGGTTCAAACGACTCTTGAAATTTGGAAAGAAGAGCCCGTCACCCGTTGCAAGCGACCAAACTCTCGAGTCAGATAGCAAGAGTGCTTTTGGTACGAATCAGGGTCATTTTGCAACAAGTATTGCTTCATCAAATGAAGGTAACAAAATCTCAGATATGGCAATGTCATTTTTTAAAAAATTAAGGCCATGCTTGGTGCACAGAAAATAAGGAAAGACAAAATGCTACGGAGTATGAATAATACATTGTCTTTTTATGTCTAGGTTTAAATTGTAAAGTATGACGCAAAATCAAATTGGATTAGAACTTTACAAAATTTTGCATATATTTATATTTTCAGTATTTATATAATAGAATATATAAATGAATGAGTTGAAGTTTTGAACAATATCAAGTTTGAACCAGTTTTTTATTTCCCCATAAGTTTCTTTCCTTTCAAATGTCTTGTCTACCTTCCAAATTTGCTCCTCATTTGTTCTCGTAGTATTTTCCGGGCTCCAAACGTTTCCCAATGGATCCATTCTGTCAGACTAATGGAAAACATGTTCTCCTTAGGTTTTCTAAAATTTCCCCATAAGTTTTGCATTAGAATTGGGTGATGAGAGTTCTTCAGTAACCATTGATGGCTCAATTATGCCCAGTTTAGGATCAGCGAGTTATACTGCTTTTGTTATTTTATGCCCTTTTTGAATGCTTTAATTCTAATATAAGCTCCCTTCGTCCAAAAAAAGACGAGTTCTTTTACTTTTTTCAACATTTAAAATCAAAAGCTTCTAGGTAAATCATTCAAATTTTTATTGACAAAATTGCACGTGTGATAATTTTGAGTTGTGATTGTGGGGTGTCATTTTAATTTTAATTAAATGGAAAACATGTTCTCCTTAGGTTTTCTAAAATTTCCCCATAAGTTTCTTTCCTTTCAAATGTCCCATTTACTTTCCAAATTTGCTCCCCATTTGTTCTCCTAGTATTTTCTGGAATTCCGGGCTCCAAATGTCTCCCAATGGATCCATTCTGTCAGACTAATGGAAAACATGGTCTCGTTGTTTTTTCTAAAATTTAGCACTCGAGTGTGTCACTCCTTTGTTCCCTCTGGTTCAATATCGTGAAGAAAAATTGCATTTTGAGAAAATTATGCTTAAAGGTTGTTTTTTGTCTTCCTTTTACTAAGTCACTCTTCTATCTCAATCGACTAAAAACTATGGAAAATGCCCACCTCCCCTGCTCACAAGTCATTCTTCAGATTTGTTTTCCAATTGTCATGGGCTCCCAACCCGCCATCCAACACCATCACCGCTACCAACAATGTCACGTCTTATGCAGTTGTCATTTCTATCATTTAAGAGCCTTAACAATACAATTGAGGAGTTTATAACTTCATATATATATTATCCAACTAAGATGGAAAGTACCTTGCTTTCCTTAATGCGTTTTCCTTCTGGAACATGGAGAAAATATATATGAGCTTGACTGATCTTCAATATGTATGTTGTTGACTTCCAGTTTATAACTTCATATATATATTATCCAACTAAGATGGAAAGTACCTTGCTTTCCTTAATGCGTTTTTCTTCTGGAACATGGAGAAAATATATATGAGCTTGACTGATCTTCAATATGTATGTTGTTGACTTCCAGTTTACACTTTGAAGAATTTAATATCTCAAAATGAAGTCCCAAATACTGGAAATGCAGTTCAAAAGTGTGAGTATATTTCACCAATTCTCCACCTGATCTTAATTTTGGAACTGATTTTTTATAATCTTTTCTGAAATGCTTCTTGCTAATTTTGGATGCAGCTCGCCATTTTTCTCTGTTATCTCCCTTCCGGAGTAAGACAACTGAGAAGAAGCTGACATCATGAATGCAGCATCAGCTTCAAGTTTCCAATATGATTTATTATGGTTGGTTGATTTGGAATTTCCTTTTCATGTCTCCAACCTATATGTGACCACATCAACTTTTGTTATTATTATTATTATGATTATTATTATTATTATTACTACTAGTATAATTACTACCACATATATAATTATATACTAACAAAAAGTGGCCATTTTGTAAAACTGAACCGTGATCATATGCAAGGGGGTGATTGGTTTTGGTTGTCACTCAATGAAAATTACCTTGATACTTCGGAGCAAGTCTTATTATCACTTTTAGTTTTTTTTAACCTACTACTCTATGGAAAGTAAAATGCTGACAGTTTGTTATTAAGAGCACATGACTGGAGATTTTAACAACATAAATCCAAGTCTTCATAGGAAACTTGATCTCAATCTCTCTCTTGGTTCTTGCTCATGTCGTATTAGTGTTAGGGCCTAGGCGTGAATCCATTCTCGAACCAGGTCAGGAGTCAAGTCTGTCAAGACTATATGTTTTCCAGGAACTGTATCAAAATCCCTTTATGTATTGGTACCGGGAACAAGACCGATCCCTCAGATAGAACAACGGATTTGTTCACAGTTATTTTTGTTCATGAGAAATAGACTAAGAATCTGAAGTCTGAACCAACTTGGACTGGCAACGAGAGTGAATGTTTAAGGTTACTGTTCCCCTAATGACTTCGAACCGACCGGTCCAGACGTGAACTAAATTTGGTCCACTACTATAAATGGTGGTGGTGAATCGCATTGGAGGTAGGGTGGGTTTGGAATTTTTGGTTTGGTTTTTTGCCCAAAACCAAAGTAGAAACTTCAGTTTGGTTTTGCATTTCAAAACATGAAACCACAATTTGATTGATTCGGTTTGTTTTGGTCCGATATTCAGTTTTTTTGGGCTTTTAACAAAAAAGTGTTGTCATTTAATTAAAAAACGATAGAATGTGTAAACCGGTACCTTGTTATCACACAAAATCCGATTTGAACTCCAGAACCAATTGAATTGAATTAAGACAATATTTCACAAGAGAGCATGTGAAATAAAGGAATATCAAGTCGGGCTTGTGAAACTAAAGGAATATCAAGTTGGAATACATTCAAATTGCTAACCATAAGATAAAATCATGGGGGACAATATTATAATAATGTGAAATAAAGGAATATCGATTTGGAATACATCCAAATTGCTAAATCAAGATTCAATTCACTAAGACAAAATCTCATAATGAATTTATGATGGACAACATTGAGAAAATAAAGCAGCAGACTAGAGTCACTAGACGTCCAATAGAAAGCCAGCAATTCATGGGGGAGAACCCTCAAGCAATGTAGTCACTCAAAAAATGCTTGAAGCCTTGAACTCAAGGTGAATGATAGTAGAAGGCTTGAAATAACACAATGAGAAAATTTGAATCAAAATCCATTTGAACCAACCGATTTCCTACTCGGGCTGCCGGGTCGATCTTCCCCTATCCCGTATTGGTTGTAGTTGACCAGTCGGTTCTAGTCTGGTTCCTCAATTGCTCCACACCATTTTATTTATTTATCAAATATATATATGAATTATGAAAACAAATAACATTTAGAATTTTAATAAATAACACAGTAACCTACCATAAATATAATACTCCCTATACAGTTATACACAATTTACTATTAATGTTTAAACCTATACATTATTAATTTATTAGTCCTTTAAAAATCAGACATATAAGAAGTTGAGTAGTACCTTGTTTGCACCAATTTTGCGGTCCAGTTCACATTTAATCAATTCTTCTTCGAACGGTTTTTCTCCCGGTTCTGATTCGGTTACTTTTGGAATGGAAACAAGATCCACCCTTCTTTCTATTGCTCTTATTTGTTATAAAATGATACATGACTGATTGTATATTACCAGTAGTAATTAAACCAAAAGCATCCCAATACCGTAATGCCATCACCTATCCTAAAATTCTAGTTGTTATATATACATATATGTTCCTTTTAAATGACTGAAAGATTTACTTCTAACACTACACAAAAATTACGGTATTGACACGAATTTGACATAGATTGATTGGTGATTTCATGCCAAATAGCTCGTACCAAAATGTTTTTGGCACGACTTTGGCATATTCTTGCCAAATGTCTATGAATTTTGGTGAATCCTTGTCAAAAATCCATATCAATCCCATGTTTTTTTGTAGTGTAAATTAAGATATTCAACTTGAACACTCTCAGGCTATTTCCCTTGTCTACCACAATCACCGGAGTACCGGACTGTTCTTCATCATGCTAAAATTCAGTGTTTATACATTTATGTAATTATTATTATGGAACATGTTTGTGTTCTCAGCATCTCATCCAAAATGTTAATCTGCGCAATTTCGCTCTACTATGTGCCATCACATTTCAATTGGTACATCTTTATCAAAACTTTGAGGAGATTATTATTATCCGACAAATTAGATTTACTTTAAATTTTAGATGTCCGTTACTATAGTTATAGTAATTTAGTATAATTACTATTATTATTATTATTTATAAAAGTCCCATATGTTCTATCCCACAAGTATATTTTAGTTCGTCTAAAATAGTACTACGTATATGATACTCTATCCCCGCTGCTCCGTTTATTAGTTCGTCTCATCCTGTTTCTGATCCTTCCAAACTATATTTCATTACATATTGACCTTAATTAGTGCTTAGTTATTGACCTTAATTATAAGAATCATTACTTAGTGCTTAGTAGGCCCATTATTGGTTTATTATTCTTTAGCTTAGACTTTTTCATTGCAATGTCCTATATGTATGCCTTGGCCACAATAAAGACATGCAAAACTTTCCTTCCTAACAAATATATGTTTCTTTCTGAAGCTCAATCGGTTCCTCCTAGTCATATCATATATGTAAGCATTACAATCCAGGTACGTTTAATTCTTTCTTGGTTTCATCATGTTATGTGATTGATTATATACAAAGTATATATAACCTTAGCTTGTTCAATTTGTACCATTGATTACCAATGAATGGGTACGTAAAAGAAATGATCCGAGAATTCTTAGGATACAATAGATTTAGAAATATTTGTCTCTTGATCATATCGTGGGTAGTTGTTATATCAATTTGGCGATGTAGCTTAGTAGTTTTGATTTTCAATCATCTCTGGATCATAAAGATCGAATTGAATTGCATAGATGATACGAACCAGATACGTGTGGGTTCAAGCATTAAACAACATCGTACAACATTATTACTTGTGACGCAAATGCCACACATTTAAACTGTTTTCGAATGACTCATGATGAAAATTGCATCGAAGATCACATGGACTGAGTGCTACTTCATATAAATAAGCATAGACATGAACCATTTTGCTTAATTACATTATATTCACAAGTCAAAAAATAGTGAGTCTCTATCTTCATCGGAAATGATGGAAACACAATTGTAGAAATAGTTTTTTTGTCACAATTATGTAATTTTAATGATGTTCGAACTAAATATTCAAATAATATTATTAGTTGAAAATGGATTTAAACTAATTATGTTTTTTGAAATGCTTTGTTAAAAGTTACGGTAATATTTTTTATAATGATGAAATGATTATTAGAATAAAAAATGGGGTGGAAAAACCGAAAAATTATAAATACATCCAATGCTTGCTTCTTTGTTCATATCAAAAGCTATAAATACATACAGTTAAGTTAAAGTGTTAAACTATATTGGTGCAATGTTGCACCTTTTTTTTTTTTTGAATTTTTTCATGTTTCAAAGAACGTGTTTTTTTATTTCAACTTCACCGTACCATACACACATTGACACAAAGGTTCGAAGTAAAACTTATTTTGTAATAAATTTTCAAATTTAGGATAGTTTATTATGCTACCCAACAAAGGTTCAGCAATTTAAGATGTACCTCCTCCATTCCATCGGACTTTGTCAACTTTCCTTTTATATTCATCATAAAAACTTTGTTTCATCCTAAGAACTTTGTCACATATATTTGTTTTAAAGCAATGAGTTTGTGATTCTGTTCATTTTTCTCTACTTAACACAAATCTCTATGACATGGTTTTTACTTGAGTTATGCTAGAGGTACAAAAACTCTTACAAAAAGTCTTACAAAATGGGTATGTGGCATCATCATATTATTTAACACATCACATCACATTTACAACACCTTTACATCGAAGGTAGTTATAATAGCCACATCACTTGTTTGTAAGTTTTTTTTGTAAGTATGTTTTTACTTCTAGCATTTTTCTTTTTACTTTTCTAATTCTACACCCAATATGTTGGCAAAGTTGAGTTTGACGGAAGTACTAAATTTTATTACAAATTGAGTTCTTGCTTGAAAATTTTGTGAATTTTTAGATGTTTGTATAGGAATATGTGTGGATATAAGTTAACCAAGGGAATCACATAGTGTTATTGAGTTTTAAGTCGCTTGAGATACTTTTATTGTTTTTAAGTGTTTTTTCTTTAAATTTTTGAATTTCTATTCAATATATATTTTGATTTCCTCCCGAATTAATTACAGAATTGATAATGTATATACTATTGTTGTGATGGTTAAAGGCACTGCTAAATTAAACTCAAGTGTAAGATCAATGGAAGGAGGAACAGTGCTTACCCCAGCTTTGGAAGAAATGAAGCATGTCAAGTCTGGAAGTGGAGACATGCTCACCAAGCCATTCTTAAATGTTTGCAAACTCATCTTGCCTATTCTAGGTTCCCATTCACTCAATCTCTATTCAAGATTTGTACAAGATTTGTAGATCACAACATTATCTGAACTATTGGTGAATTAATTAATTTTTAATTAAGGAAGATAAATCCAACCCCTAATATTATGTCCTATTTTTTTTTCTTATATGCCAGATAAATTAGGAGCTGCCATGACTATGGTGAAATCTGATATAAGTGGAAACATTTCAGTAAGATATATTCTTTACATACCTTTTGCACAACTGAGTATTTAATAGCGTATAACTACTTCCGTTCCACTAACACTGAGACATGAGGAGGTTGTGCGGTTACTATGAAAAGTGATTTATATAATTGATATTGAATTGATAAAGTAAAAATAGTGTAAGATTGATTTAAAATCATACAAACTTTACAAAATACGACAACCTTAATGGATCAAATCGAAAAGAAAAGATGAGACATCTTAGCTAGACAATCTTAATGTACTGCTTGTTGGATCCAGAACACTATAGAACATGTTCTTGATACCACGAGACCACAATTTTTTTTGTCTAATAACCTAAGGCTTTAATTTGATATCATGTGAGAACAATGACTATGCTT